GACTGGATTAGTATGTCTACAGAGCGTATCACTCTGTTCTGGTATGTCTACGGAGCGTATCACCTGTTCTGGTATGTCTTTAGGCGTATCAGTCTGTACTGGTGTCTCGGTGCATCAGTCTGTTCTGGTATGTCGATAGGTGCATCGGTCTGTTCATGCGTGTGCATCATAGGTGCATCACTCTGCCGGTATGTCTATAGGCGCATCACTCTTTACTGGTATGTCTATAGGCGCATCGGTCTGTTCATGTATGTCTATAGGTGCATCAATCTGTTCTGGTATGTCTACAGGCGGATCAGTCTGTCCATGGATGTGCATAGGTGCATCAGTCTGTTCGGGAATGTCTATAGGTGCATCAGTCTGGTTGGGTATGTCTGTAGGTGTATCATTCAGTGCCGGTATGTCTATAGGCGCATCACTCAGTGCCGGTATGTCTGTAGGTGTATCACTCAGTGCCGGTATGTCTTTAGACGCATCACTCTGTACTGGTATGTCTATAGACGCATCAGTCTGTTCATGTATGTCTGTAGGTGCATCAGTCTGTTCAGGTATGTCTGTAGGTGCATCAGTCTGTTCAGGTATGTCTTTAGGCGCATCAGTCTGTTCGGGTATGTCTATAGGCGCATCAGTCTGTTCGGGTATGTCTGTAGGTGCATCAGTCTGTACTGGTGTCTCTCGGTGCATTAGTCTGTTCGGGTATGTCTGTAGGTGCATCAGTCTGTTCGGGTATGTCTATAGGTGCATCAGTCTGTACTGGTGTCTCTCGGTGCATCAGTCTGTTCAGGTATGTCTTTAGGCGCATCAGTCTGTTCGGGTATGTCTATAGGCGCATCAGTCTGTTCAGGTATGTCTGTAGGTGCATCAGTCTGTACTGGTGTCTCTCGGTGCATTAGTCTGTTCGGGTATGTCTGTAGGTGCATCACTCAGTGCCGGTATGTCTATAGGCGCATCAGTCTGATCGTATGTCTTTAGGCGCATCAGTCTGTACTGGTGTCTCTCGGTGCATCAGTCTGTTCTAGTATGTCGATAGGCGCATCGGTCTGTTCATGAGTGTGCATCATAGGTGTATCACTCAGTGCCGGTATGTCTATAGGCGCATCAGTCTGTTTGGGTATGTCTATAGATGCATCAGTCTGTTCGGGTATGTCTGTAGATGCATCACTCAGTGCCGGTATGTCTATAGGCGCATCAGTCTTTTCGGGTATGTCTATAGGCGCATTAGTCTGTTTGGGTATGTTTGTAGGCGCAACAGTCTGTACTGGTATGTCTATAGGTGCATCAGTCTGTTCGGGTATGTCTATAGGTGTATCACTCAGTGCCGGCATGTCTATGGGCGCATTACTCAGTAATAATGTGCCTACAGGTGCACCGCTCTGTACTATTATATCTATAGGGTTATCACTCTGTACAAGTATGTCTGTAGGCACATCACTCTGTACTGGTATGTCTATAGGCGCATCACTCTGTACTGGTATGTCTATAGGCGCATCACTCTGTACTGGTATGTCTGTAGGCGCACCGCTCTGTACTGGTGTGTCTGTAGGCACATCACTCTGTACTGGTATGTCTATAGGCGCATCACTCTGTACTGGTATGTCTATAGGCGCATCACCCTGTACTGGTATGTATATAGGCGCATCACTTTGTACTGGTGTGTCTGTAGGCGCACCGCTCTGAACTGGTGTGTCTGTAGGCACATCACTCTGTACTGGTATGTCTGTAGGCGCATCACTCTGTACTCTCGGTATGTCTATAGGCGCATCACTGTTCTGTACTGGTGTGTCTATAGGCGCATCACTCTGTACTGGTGTGTCTGTAGGCGCACCGCTCTGTACTGGTGTGTCTGTAGGCACATCACCTGTAGTGGTATGTCTATAGGCGCATCACTCTGTATGTGCTATGTCTATAGGCATCGTCACTCTGTCTATATGTCTATAGGCGCGCATCACTCTGTACTGGTATGTATATAGGCGCATCACTTTGTACTGTGGTGTCTGTAGGCGCATCACTTTGTAGTGGTGTGTCTGTAGGCGCACCGCTCTGTACTGGTGTGTCTGTAGGTGCACCGCTCTGTACTGGTGTGTCTGTAGGCGCATCACTCTGTACTGGCGTGTCAACCCGTTGTGGTAAATCTCTGGACGTAGTATCTATTTTCCTTTGTAAATCAAGAGGCACATAACGCTGTATTGATACAAACTGGGTTTGATTATCGTCAGTGGTATGACCCGGTGCTAGTATATCCATTGACTCATCCTCATCATTTGCGTCCTACTGTATTGGTATATCCGATGGTGTATCAGATTGTGCCGGGGTATCCAGGAACACCCCACATGGGTTTGGTTTATGTAATAGAATTAGAATGGTCTCACATATCAGTGGCAACTTGTAGATGTGGCAAAGTCAGATTGAGATAATTCATCTTCATCTGCGTCGGACCATAATTCAATAATCTTGCATACACCTAAAACCAGATTTGATAATAATAACACGCAATAATTAAATCAATTTAGTTTCAATTTTAAATAGAGCTGGCAAATAACTTTTATACTCACAGCATATCTCGTAAGTGAAATACAAGTATATTACCACACTCATGTGTGTTATATATAAAAGTTATTTAACAAGTACTTATTTACTATTTACAGATATGACTTACCTGTAATGTTTCAGTGGGATTTCCGTACTGTAAACCTTCCGAATACAAACACACACTTTGGAAAATAGCTTTTCTCCCAATGGTCAAAATAAACTAATCCTGGCTAGTGTGAAACAAACCCTGAAAAAGCTGGGACAGAAACGCTTATATATGGCAACACCAGAATAACAGTAATTAAGACAATCTGACCCCGGAGAGAGGTCCTTATCAGCTGTAAGTCTAAAGGGTTAGGTCCCGTAAGTGCGACCTTTGGATGGGTGTAAAACAAAATGGTAGGTTTGCAGGGGTGTGTCTCTAAGGCCGACTGGTTCTAGACAATGGGCAGTCAATGTTTTAGGATTCATGCTAAAATGTTCACTGAAAATAAGCGGACAAGATTCACGCTGTAAAATGTCATTTTTATTTAAACATTCTTTGAGACGGTAATTCCTATTGTCTACATAATAAGTAATACATATTCATATACCATAATATATTATACATAAAACGTGCATAGCGATAACATAAGCACCTTAAATAATCATAACCTTTCCTTATGAATTAAATTAAATAGTACAAATCATATATGGTGAAAGCAAAATATACAGGCAACACAGATATACCAGAACCAAGAATCACGAACTCAACAACTTCACACAATAGTAGGCATTGTCCAGGTACTCCATCAATGTCATTTCGTTATTTGCAAGCCTGAACTTCAAAGTATCGAGTCGTTCCTCCAAATATCTGTACTTCTTTTTTGGGTCAGTCTTTGGCCGGCATTGTACTCAAGCATCTTTGCCTCGTTCAGTCCTTGTTCATCTGCCGAGAACTTGGCCATCTCGAAAGGTTGGGATGTTGTGTTCCCACAACCTTCTTCAGACGACCATGCCAACACCCGCTGTATTTTTTGGTACAGTCGAAAAGATTCACCTTGAACTTCGTTGTGTACAGGTCCATGTTTGTGGTTTTGGGGTATTTGGGAAATTATCACGTTCACTGTTGAGATTGATATGCAGTATTTTGAATGCATCTACAGATCCATTCTTCCCTTTTGTTCTTGTTCACAATAAACATTCACATAAACCATTTACATATATGTATGTTCCACCACGAAAAGTAGGAAGAAACTTATTGTGCATTTGCCATTACTGAAGTTGTGGAAATGATGATGAAAACTGTCACTTCCAACATTCTTATAGATTGCAAGTTTATGTAAGAAATTGAATAACTCACTACTAATGAATTGAGTGAACTAAACTCACTCACTAAACCCGCTGGTTCACATGTCAACCCGCTGGTACAAATGTCATATTTCGTTTCCTGACTGGACACATTTTATATTTTGTAGAAAACCAGTGTCTTAATGCCTTAAAACAACACCGTTTTCACAACTAAATTTGACAGAATTTTTTACATAAGGTGTTCTGGCACTAACCCCTCGACTAGTTTACTTAAATAAGTAGTAATGTTGAACATGAAATCAGTGATTAGAGATCAATAGCAGTAAAACTGCATTACAAAAGGTTATTCCCCGATTTTCCAAAATAACAATTTCTAAACACGACGTCACCCTCGACATGGGCGACGTCGATTTTGTATTTTCGTTGTTGATCATTCTTGTGTATTTCTGCACGACGTCGTTGTCGACGTAGTCTTTTTTACGCGCCATGCGATGGCAATTATAGTACACCATAGTAACTACTACATATTGACAGGAATGACTGCCGTAAAAGCCGCAAATTCCCACCTTCTTGTTCATCTGATAATAGAATGCGTCATTTCAAACAAAGTAAAACATTTTCACCAAACCCAATGTAAAAAGAGTAGAAAAATACATTTTGTAATGGCCCATATTTTTTACTCTTTTGTATTTGTCTCATACATTGTTCTAAATTTCATACATTGTTCTAAATTACTCTTATTTCATCATTTTGTCAACATTTATAAAGCATCTGGCAAAGGGAGATAACTGTTGGTTGAGATTAGTAATTCAGTGCACGAAGAAGTCATGCAGTTGATGAGCTGACTCGAACCTCAGCAGCCATGTGCTTGTTTTTTGCCAACAATGATGGTGAGTTTTTATTACTTTGTCTCCTTTGGCCTGAAGAATTATCCTATTGTTTAAATTACAATTCATGTTCTTATGGAAAATTTGGTAATAATTTTGTTTTGCTGTTAAGAAGGGCAAAATTTCCAAACATGTGCTTCTCTTGTTTACTGGTTAAACTGGTCGGGTTTTTATTATTATTCACATTTATCAATTTAAATAGTATAAAGAATATAAATATCTGTTTAATGCAGTTTGATAATTTTGACCGAATATTGTGTACAAAGCTCTTAATGTTTATTTATTGAAAGTTTGTTCATTTTCAGTCAATCTAATACCACACCACACCATTATTATAAGAAAATAAGGAAGTAAAAGGATAAAGAAAGAAAAAAAAAGAATAAATTATTATTTAACCCAAGACGTGGTTACTTTATGGATTGTATACCCAAAATATTTTCTAAGATTTGAGTTGAGATCGTTCTGATTTTTAGTCCAGTTTCTTTAATCAAGAGCCATCAAGTAAGACAAACCCGAGTGGAGATATCCGTTCTCTTCCTGACTCGAAATCTTCAGTGGCCAGGTAGTACTCTGCCATGGACCTCTCCCAGGAATCCATTTCTTCATTCCGTTTTTTGTCTGAAAGAAACGTTCTTGGGTACGTCCATACGGTAAATGAATATCTGTTAGGAAGATACATGCTAATACAGTTTACTCACTATATGTTCTCAGCCTATATTGCTATTATGATCATCCGAGTGGTATTTGTAGAATACATTAAAAGTTACTGAACAATTGTCCAGTGCAATAACTGCATGAACCTGATAATTCGAATCGATCATTTAATATGTTCAAAAGGACGCAATGACAGTCGAACGGATATACACGTCTAGTACATTTATTTTGAAACTATTAAGCTGAACTTTGAGAGAGACAGACTATTGCAGGGTGCGTTCATTCGTGCAATTGAACTTATTCTGATGAAATTATCGATCAACATTTGATATAGATTCTCTCCCCACACATAGGTTAATGATCCTGAACGCACTGTTAAACCCCTTTCCTCCACCCTACATTACTATGCATACCCTCTTTTGGTGCCATTCGTGCTGTCTTGCAACATGCATAGAGGTAGTAGCCAATGTGAAAGAAGACGTTGAAAGGAGGGGGGGAGTGGTGGTTTGTCGTAATACTCCATTATTACTTTGGCCCTTTTCCACGCTGCCAGCCATTTGGTCTGTTCGTGGACCTTTTGAAAGGTGAAACTGTGGACAAAGCCGAATAGTTACAAAAAGCGGCTCTACGATATGCAGTAAATATTCAGCCTTGACTGTACCTTCAGGGTGCAAGCATATATACAAGTATGCTGGTAAAATACAATGTCTTACTGCACATACCTTTTGCTTGAATGGTTCATCTCTCTCTGCTAGATCAATTCAAATATTCATACTAACAGAGCAGTCACTATTACTTTGTTAAGGAGAACATTTACATTGAAAACAGTGCATCTTAAATATGAAATCAGAATGCTTAGAAAAACAGGACTGGAGAGCTTATATAATACCATACTTGATTGATGCTTTTTGGATGTTATACAAGTACACTCTCATCATTTTTTACTTTGTAGTTAAGAGACTGTACCCGAATTGTACTCTGAGTATGTTGAGGATGTATGTATGACTTCATAAACACACTGTACGTGAACCTTGCTGTCAGGGTGTTGAAGGGAAGCGTGTTCCAGAGGATGCACGTACTGTACGGAAACCTTGCATTTATGGTGTTAAAAGATGACATCTATGAGCAACTACACTCAACCTGTCTGTGTTTAAAGGCTGAATGAATATACCTCCAGGAGGATGTCAGAGATGGTGATGTATCATCGTACCTGAATCTTGCTATCAGGATGCTCAGGAGGAGAACATTCAGGAGAAGCATGTGCGGGGCCAGAAAAAATGGAACTGCGTATTTCCCCAGGGTGGATGGACATTCATCCTTTGTGTCGTTTTTAAAAAGAAGTGGGTCAGACGAACACTCATCCTGGGTTTCACTGGCTAACACAAGGAACAAAAGTACACAGAAATGTACGCTTTGCTAAAAGCAACTGAATAATAGGTCATTTACTGTCGTGTTACTAATGATGAACGGCAATACAAAAGAGTCATTTAACACAATGTATCTTATTCTGTAGTATTCATGGATATCAGATAGTGATCATATTACTTTCTTGCTTAGAAGCTGTTTGATCAAGGTGGCACCATTCGAGGGCTTAGTAAAGTTTATCAAAAGATTTCTGGTACACGTGGAAGACATTCCCAAATTTTAAACATCAGTGACTGAAATCAAAAGATAATATATAGAGTACCTTCAATTTCATCCAATCCTAATTCTCCAAATAGGTTCCAAAATGCACTTTTAGGTATGTCAATCAAAGACTCAGGTGACCAGTCACGGTTAGGATAAAGAAGTGCGTGTGCAGCCAGGCCGTGCGACATGATGAACACCGGCATTATCACCAGGAACGGAAACAGGTCCTTGATCTACAAGATAATGAAGAAAAGCTACCTTAATACAGTATCACAATGTCCCAGATAGCAAAGGTTTATTGGCAAATGGTTGGTTGGTTGGCCAACGGTTTGACAACATTATTAACGTTATCTTAATGACTTAAAAGTAACGGTGGCTTTGGACACGTTGGTCCAACAGTGGGCCAATATTTGATAAACTCTGCCTAATGTCCCTGATCTCACATCTATTTCACAAAGTTGTCCCAACATTGTGAATAAAAAGAGTGAGCATACGTCCATTTTCCCCATGTTTTGTATTCAGATTTTGATGAAAGTTGAAATAATTACACAGAAAAATGTAAGAATCTATTTCGCCGTCTATGTTGCAGTGAATTTTACAGCGTTGTTTTCTCCAAATTGAATACCAAACGTGTCATCATTGATAGCTTCACCTGATATTCAAAGAGCAGACGACACTACATTTCTGGAGGCCTTCAACTGGTAAATATGCATTGTTAGTTCAGTGATACTGAATTGTAAATATATTGTGAAATAATTGGTTTAAATCATCATTTAAGTTAAATAAACTGACACATACTGTATTGAAGGACAATTGATTGAGTAGATAAAAGATTTAATTGACTTTTTTCTTTAGGTGCCTCTTTAAACCAGTTTGATAATCTTATTTCATTTTTAATTTATATATTTATTGTATTTACTTTATTAACATTATGTGTCTGTCAGTTACACTCCTGTTTGCATATATACAACTCTCTATTATTCATCTTTATAACCAACCTATAATTGCTAAACATCATCATACCAGATATATGTGTCACAGTTATAGTAGTTACAAGTCATATCCAAATAAAACATTGTTTGATCAGCATTCTAGAAGTTGGTGAGTGAAAAATGAAACATACAACTTTATGGACGACAACTTCTTGCTTATTGCATAGAGCAACGTTTCGATGTATACTGAGAAGCAATAAAACCGCATAGGAGGAAGAAATGTCAGATATATTTCTCCTATGTCCAAACATAACATATGGCGGTGCAGGAAAAGGCATTGTGATGACTTGTAAACAATACTGCAGAGTTTACAGAGGATTACGGATGCAACAATGTCTTTGCGAGCATCTCCAAAACAAGTGGTATGAGAACACACAACTGTCAGATGACACATTTCAATACCGTGTGTGTCCTCCTTGGGCAGCCATGCAAGTCCGGAGTCTGCCAGGCATTGACAAGGACAATCTCCGAATCAAAGCTTGTGGAACGGCTCTCCAGTAAAACTGCAAAGCTTGTGTCAACTCAGCTACAGTTTGGAGAGGATTCAACTGACGTCTCACGAGGGCCAGTTCAAGACACATACATTGTTCTGATGCAAAAAGTACTGTGTTATCCTAGCCGTATGTGGCCTGGCATTGACGTGTTGGAACACGAGGCGATGTCGTCCGTGTCGACCCATCAATGGCAGAAGCACTGGTTGCAACACGTTGACAATGTAACGTCGGGCGTTGAGATTCCCTTGAAGAACAACCAAGTCAGAGCGGAAGTTGACGTTAATATCCCCCCATACCATAACTCCACCACCACCAAAGCGATCACGCTCAATGACACAAGGCTGAGCAAAACGTTCATGATTACGGCGATAGACACGTAGCCGACCATCAGGGAAACTGACGTTGAAACGTGATTCATCTGTACAGATGACATCTTGCCACTGTCTAGCACCTCCAGCAGCTGCCCAACGTTGACGATTTAGGCGATGTGCATGGGTGAGGATCTGTCCACGATAGGGTCGACGACATCGGATGTGACGTGCAGCAAGGCGAAGGCGTACTGTCTGGTCACTGATGGAACGTCCTCTCGTTCCTATTGTGGCATTTGCAGTCTTTCGTGCAGACCTGAAGCGATTCCGAAGATGTCTAACGACGATGTACCGATCTTGCCTTTGTGACGTCACTCGAGGCGCTCCCGGACGTGGATGGTCTTGGACACTTCCTGTTGCCCTATGACGTTGCTGTAGCCTCGAAATGGTCGTCTGATGGACGTGGATGTGATTAGCAACATCTCGCTGTGTTTGGCAAGCATGCAGCATTCCAATTGCTTGGTTCCTTTGGGGTTGGTCAACCATGGCATCGTGAATGTGAATGAAAGCCATTTCTCAACCTGTGCTTTTATGGGAGTGTGCACATTGCACGTGCCCCATGGTTTTTTCTGTTCATCCAACTGCATTGTCATCGCACATGCTCTTGGGTGCGTTTGAGATGTCACGTCCCTGTGATTTGAAACCGTGGGATTCAACCTAAACCTGTGCATTTCTTAACCATATGTTTTCACCATATTGTAGTTTTGGAAACAGCAACATCTTTACAATGGACTTAGAGTAGAAAGTCCAATATGCGTTTTTAACGCCTCTCAGTATAGATTCTTACACCATTATCAAGCTCAAAGTGACTTTAACCAAATGACGAGAAGTATATATGCATAGTATGTTTTGACAAATAGCAGATTGACATTAACAACAACATGTAATTGAATAACAACTGGTGCATAATTGGAAGAGGCCAGATGGGAACTAAGAGCAACAAATGGAACTGGGGATGAAGCCAATACACAAAAGGGGATTAAGTTGTAATAAGTTGGAATATCACGGCCAGTATTGTTTACTGGCTTCATCACCAGTTCCACTTGTTGTTCTTAATCCCCATCTGTCCTTTCCCAATTATGTACCAGTTGGTACTCAATTACATGTTGTTGTTAATCATAAAGTTGTATGTTTCATTTTCAAATGAAAACATAACGTCAATACTATGTCCTTTTACGATAGATATAATTTCTAAAATTATGATATCTCAGTTTCATGAAATTTGTGGGGGTTTTTCAAGAGCAGTTTGAAAAAACCTGTCAGCAGCCGAAAGACCTAAGGCAAGCATATTTTCGGGAAATACAATATTGTTCAAATAACAATGAATTTTTTTTAAATAGTTCACTTGATTAACTTGTTGTGTTGTTTATATATGTTTCTGATTGCAGAGGTCAGGAAAGAGCTAAATGTTGAAATACGGTTGTGCCAACATAAGACCAACTAAATCACATCGTTGGGCCAAGTATGGGCCATGGTTTAGTGCAAAGGTCAAGAAAGTGCTAAATGTTGAAACACGGTAGTGCCAAAAAGGCCAACAAAATCACTACGTTGGGCCAAGTATGGGCCATGGTTTAGTGTGAATTTTCATTTGTTGGCCCAGCAATGAGCCAACATGATGGGCCACCGTGGAGCCGATGAGCATATCCAAGTGGGCCCATCGTCAGTTTGACAACCATGGGCCAACCAAACCGGTGATTATGGGTCAACTATGGGCCAACATATCAATGCTATCTGGGGTGCTATATATTCTGAGGGACCCTCAAGTGCTTATTTGATTGAAAAAAGCTAGATTCCTAGCTCAATGTCTTTACCCTAATTTTGTACTCTCGAAACCTAATGTGTAAATAACGACTTCTTAATATTCCAACCGATTTCTGAAGCATACTAAAATCTAGTTCTCACCCTAAGTGGCATGAATATAAACAGATATTTGATTATTATTATCTTGTTTCAATTTTATGGTCAAAGTCAACCTACCATTTGAAAGATCATATCAAGAACAGAACCCATGGAGCTGAATATGGCCAGATGTTGAAGTATTCTCCAGGTAAAGAACATGATGTCCAGACTCAGTATGACTCTAGCAGCTTCATACACATCACTCCTAGTGGTGTCCAGATGGACGATGGTCATCAGAATAGCACCCACCAGGAAGAACCCAAGAGAAACACAGTCCAGTATATTCCAGTAGTTATCAAAGAAATGCGTCTTCAGTACCGAGCAGAATTTCCACGAGCAGCAACACTGGCATTTGTCCCTGCAACACTTGCACTGTTCAGCTGGCTTGGTTTTCACAATCTGGAATTAATCTTGATACATTAACACTTATTGACCTTCTTGAAAACCGTCAAGATCAAGAATGACACCCTATGCGCGCGTATGGGAATACCGTGTTGTGCATGTGCACCATGTGTTTAACGATGGTGTTCAAGAGAAATGGCGGTGCGTTCATAAGATCTCTGTCTTTGAAAAAATTGTAAACGCTTATAATTCCTATCCTTACTTTATTTGAAGAGTATACTTCTCTCCACTAGGAAAAGCGAGAAAACCCTTTCCTTGATAATGTGAAATATCTGTGAACAAAACAGTCGCCTTTAACATTCCAACTTTCTCATGAGGAGATGTTTATGAATTACAGTCAAACGCGAAATGGTCAACTTATCCTGACGCACCGGGATACAAACACATGCAGAAACAAGTCAATTGTTCGCCTGATTAACCAGGGCAACATCTGATACAAGTCAAGATAAGGAATTGCATTGTTTTTTCAGAAACGTTTTGAAAGCTTTGCTTAGGCCATCAGTGCTGTAACTTCGATCACACAACAATTGAACATATGGAACGTATGGAGTTCTTTGAAATCTTAGTAAAAAGGGTAAATTCGATTGTACCCCAAAACGTTTGAAATCCATACTGCGGGTGGTGCATGAACATGCACGTGCAAATTGTGAGTTGCTGTCAGTTAGTCGAAGACATATGGTATAACTGGAATCGTATAATGGCCTCTGCTGTTAGCAGATGTTCCTAAAAAAACGGACTATTTTCACTCTTATTTAGATCAGTTTTAATGACAGAAGGTGTACATCAAATCTCATACTGACCTGTCTGATCTCCTCCCAAACAAACGTGAACCACCATCCGGCCAATATGCCTTCAAGAACTGAAAATTCTTCCTTCATTTCAAACAGTAAGGTGTGACCGAAGATAATCAGGAAACACACGGAAAACAGCTGTGGTGAGAGAAAACAAGCTCCTATCCATTTACATCCATTTGATCCATTTGATTAATAACAAGAAGACCAAGTATTCAATATCCCCAGCAATGGCAAAATACTCTTCATGAATATGTGAATTTTTTTGGCGTGTACATAGCAGTGAGTGAGTTTAGTTTTATGCCATACTTAGCAATATTTCTGCTATATGCCAGTGGGCTGTAAATAACAGCAATCAACAGCAAGAGCATCGACCTTTACAATTGGGATACAATGATATGTGTCAACCAAGTGACTATAATGCAGAGTGGAAGGAGAGCATTTAAGTTCTGCTCCGGAAAAGAGCACAAACACCAATTTCAGTCGAAGTCAAACTTGTTGCCATCGAAACGCAAAAATGATTACAATCTGAAATCCAAAACTATCAAAAGGCAGCTGTTCACCACCAGACCTATCTATCTGCCAAGTTTGGTGAAGAAATATTGAACTTTTTAAAGTTCTGCTCAGGAAAAGACAAATCTGCGGGGGATAATGATAAATAAAATAATATATATAATACAAGAGTTCTAATACTATTAAGACTTTTTTAGGGTAGCCCAGTGGTTTACGTGTTGCCTCCGGGTAAACGTCCGGGTTCACACATTCATTCACTTATAATCATTCGTACCAAGTTCAAACTGTATGTTGTTACTGGAGCTATCGCAAGTCGTCTTAAGGGAGCAGAGACAGCTTCACCCCTGAAATGATACAGAATAGGATGAAAAATGTACTAAATATATCGGAAAGGAACAATTTTTCATTATTTTCTCAAATGAATTATTGTATTGTGATTTTTGGTAAAGCTCCAAAATGTCCACGTTCCAATCATATGCAAAGAAAAGAAATACTCACTCTTTGATATTCAGCTTTGTAGGTGTTTTGTAAGTATCCTGAAAACACATATATTAAACGTGTTTTTTCATTGTAGATGTATGCATTGATAACCAATGCTACTGTTTCAATGTATCTCTTACACATGTACAGTGATATCACTGACGTGTGTACAGTGATAATATATTATCGATCATAAATTACCATAGTGAATAGTATGAATTATTCATAAAAAATCAATAAAGCAGAATACCGAAGGGTGTATAAGGGGCGGTAGGGTTACCCAGTGGTTAATGCGTGTGTTCATCACGCCGAAGACCCGGGTTCGATTCCCCACATAGGTACAACGTGTGATGCCCATTTCTGGTGTCCCTCGCCATGATATTGCTGGAATATTGCTAAAAGCGGCGTAAAACCTTACTCATTCACTCACTTTGCTCATAACATCAGTCAACGCTCTACTTTAGATTCAATCATAACCATGCCGTCGTCATAGAACCTGTAAGCTTCTTCGTCATAGAACTGGGTAGGGTAGCCTTGTGGTTAAAGCGTTCGTTCAACCCGAGTTCGATTCCCCACAAAGGGTACAATGTGAAACCCATTTCTTGATGTCTCTGCCGTGATATTGCTGGAATATTGCTAAAAGCGGCGTAAAACAAAACTCACTCACTCACAGAATTAAGACTGACTGACTGAGTTTGGTTTTACGCCACTTTTTAGCAATATTTCAGCAACATCACGGCGGGGGACACCAGAAATGGGCTTCACACATTGTACACATGGGGGAATCGAACCCGGGTCTTCGGCGTGACGAGCCAACGCTTTAACCACTAGGCTACCCCACCGCCCCCCAAGAATTAAGATAATCATTAGTGTATCGTTATACAACACTCAAATATTATAAGTGGAGACTCACCTGACTAAAGAGACACATAGTCACACTCACCTGCATGGGTGGGTTAACTTTCCCCAACCACACACGTTCAGTGTACTCCCTGTAAGCTTCTTCGGCGAATATTCTCCGGTTGTCTTCAGCCAAACAGCATCTTAGCAGATCTTCCTCCCATATGTTGCCTGCTAGCTGGGACTGTATCAGATCTATAGTCGTTTCTTTTTCCTCGTCATAACATGTGTTTATGAGGCCGATAGCTCTGTTCTGAAACAATCTAAACACACCAAATATTACTGAAACATATGGTGTTCCTTGATTTCAGTCACAAAAATCAACAAAGAAACAAATAGATGATAAAACCAAACACACATTGAAATTAAAAAAAATAAATAGAATGTCGAACATACATTGCCTGTGATTCCAGTGTTTTTTTACGGCCAATGTTTTCTTCATCTTCCATCCGTGAGCTGAGGACTGATGCAGCCAGTAGGGACGATGTTAGCAGGTGCTGAAGGAATGTGCAAGTGAGTGTGCAATTTCTTGTCAAAATGTACTTACGTGTAAAGTAGCCTACTATATTAGTTAATGTCCGTATAAATTCTGCCAACCAAACCCTGAAACTGACGTGCAGTGGAGTTACCTTTCATCATTAACGATTTAAGTTATCTGGACTCGCCCTGCTTATGATCACGATTAAGTCTGTTATCTCCTTTGCCTCTGGCAATCAACCGAGGCACTCGATGAATTTAATCACCTCTTACGACAAGCCAGGGTTGCTGGAAGCCTACATTAGTTGTATAAGTATATTCCTTCACGGAATCCGAACTTCAGCTGCCGTGTATGGTAGGACGGAGATAATGTTCCAAGGAGTTTCAAACCCTTCTTATTCAATCACTGCTTGCCCTCGTGTATGAAAAGTATCTTACGGTTCCTTTCTTCCAGAAGAGTGCAGCACATTTCACTAGGTTTGTCCTCACAGCCCATATCATTAAACGTTTGAATAGGTTCTTCTCGTGAGACGTATCATTGTTCTCCTCGGGTTCTTTAGCATTGGAGAGAGGGAACAGACTGTATGCGGTTTCCTGTACAAAAACAAATACCTGATTACTGTTCTTTGCAATCACAACTTTATTAGTATCTAGAAGATTGATAACTCACATGCTCAAGCTAAGGAAATAAGAACTATGAAAGGAAAGCACGCAATTTGCTAATCAAACAAATACATACCGGTGAACAGTTTTGCACTTCATACAATTTTGAAATCACAGCTTTAGTGAAGAATGCTGTAATGTCCACACCGTTATGGTCTATAATGAACTGCACAATCTCAGCCTGGTCCATCAGCATCGCTTGAACCAGGAACATGCCTACTGTGTCTTAAAACCAAAAAAGATAACTGTCCTTAGCTCACTAAAATCTCAAACTTACACGTTGCAATTGGGAGAATAGGCCAAATTATTAATCAGGTTTACAAAACACTCCTCCAGATCAGGTGTCAATATTACACGTGTGCCCTGTCTGGTTGAGTTCAACCTATAAAATGTATCGTTATGTAAACATTAATCAAGCAAAACGGGTATCGATCGATGACGTGTTTGAAAGAGTTGTATTGCTCAGCAATATTCCAGCTATATGGCGGCGGTCTGCAAATAATTGAGTCGGGACCAGACAATCCAGTGATCAACAACATGAGCATCGATCTATACAATTGGCCATAAATACGATGACATGTGTCAACTAAGTCAGCGAGCCTGACCACCCAATCCCGTTAGTCGCCTTTACAAGCCTGGGTTGCTGAAGATCAATTCTAACCCGGATCTTCACGGGTCCAAAGTGTTGTCGTCCTGCTGAGATACAAACAAGGCTTCGTGTCTAACTCCACTCTACCTTTACCACTGGGATGTTTCGGATTTTGCTCATTGTCGTTGTGAGCTGCCGCAGCAGCCCCTTCCCCGTCAAACAGCCTCGCCGGCATATAGTAGTCCAGGATGCGTAGCACTTCAGGGACGGATTTACCTAAAACAGGACAGCTAAGTATCTTTGGACTCTCACATCATTGAAACAGCCTTAAGAGTTGGAACAATTCTGATGTAGACTTCCATTCATGTTCCGAATCAGAAATTTCAAGGCAGATCTGAACTACAGGTTCGAGTTGCAACGATATTTCTCTGCACCTGCTGTCCAGACACGGAATAATCAGTGTAAGGTTTTCAGATACAATGTCACGTTACGGTAGCATTATCTTTATAGCATGTATGTGTTGCAGGTCAAGAAGATTGAGAATAAACTTGTGAACAGTATTTCAGCCATAAAGAGGCGCTTTAGCTTGTGCGAGGCAAGCCCTTTGATAGACTTGAACCTGAATTACAATTAGCATAACCATGTCCGAATGTATATGGAATTTAAGTTTTAATGAATCAGAATAAATTCATTTGTAGGTGTTTCAACAGTTGGCAGGAGACACCTATGTGAAACGCACGGGAAGGGCCGTTTGCATTAGATATTGAGTACGTTGTCATATCAGAGCATATATTTACTTTTTAGCAGTGCCCGTATTACTGCGTTAACCATCGTGGTTTCCTCTTCGTCAATGTGTACAACCGTGATGAGCTCTCTTTTCTGTAGACACTGCATGATTTTGTACTCGCCAACCTCACTTCCTTTTTCGTGAACTTTGGTAAACTCCTCCTTTACTTGCTGACGTAAAACTTCATCAATCACTGTGCCCGTCCTATATATCATAGAGTAAATGGAAATAGGAATTGGAGGCAAATTGAGCAATTATCTTGCTCAAATTTACTCTCTAACATGCTTATGGTATCTGAATCGTTCAATGGATGAGATTCATTTGACAAAAGATATTATTTTACTCATACGTATAATATAGAAACTATGTGAAACGGATGTGCAACATGTATGTACATGGTTATAGTTACGTGTAAGGGTATTTCATCATTTGGGTATTTAAAGGGGGAGATGACTCCTTGTACAACTCACCATTCTTTGTCTCTGCCACCAGAAGAACTTTTCCTGTCTTTCTTGGAGGTTTCTAACACATTGGCCAGTGCATCAGCAACACCACCTGTCCCCTGATAAAACTCAGAATACTAAAACTTTACTTAGCCACATTCGTAAATACATAACACCGGAAACATTCTAACTGTCGTGGTACTAAGTAAATTGCAAGGAGATTCAGAAGACAAAAGGTTACTTAACAAGTGAACGGACACATGGCTTCGTGCTTATTACGAGCAAAAAGTGACCACTATAACCACGTTATCATCATCTAAAAACATGTAATTCCATAGTTAAAGCAATATTTTATACTAGATTCAATTTACCTGCAATACAACCACAGGTACGTTGTTTTCTAATGCAGATTGGACTCCATCGAGAACATAAGACCATCCACAATACAGCAGAACCACCAGTGGGGTGCAGGAAGTTCCTTAATAAATCAGTTTTAGATATTTACAGTTTGTGTAATACATTATATTGCATGAAGACTTTAAACGAATGCAATAATTATTTGTTTACGTTTATTATTTCAAGGAGGAAATCATTTCATGTATTTTTTTTGTTCGGTCATTGAATGGCATTTACAAGTGATACACATAAAGGGTGAACATGTACGGATGTCAACTTCTGTCACATGAGGGACACGACGTTTCCGACGTTACTCTGAAAACATCGTGTCCCTCATATTACAGAAGTTGACATCCATACATTTTCACCTTTGTTGTCTGGTCCTTTTTCAGTACTTCGACACACTGACCTTATTTCAAGGTCGCCATTTGTTTGTAATTACCTTCTGAATGTTTCGTCATTGCTGTTTCTAATGTCACCCTAAACTCTTGGAACGATTTGTGGGCATGTACCCAATTTAAAGATCCATCGTCCACTAGGAGGTGATGCTTGTACAGAGCACTGGGTCTGTTTCCTGATACCCACCACACTGGCTCCTCTGGTAACTGAGGCTACAGAAAAAAATCAAAGAGAACTATTTGTCAAAAAACGTCCTAATTGTGTCACTATTTAATTTGTCACACGACAGATCTTGTGTGGAGGGTTCGAGACAGATGTTTCCCATGTCTGTTGGGATCCGGTCACGAGATTACCAACACAGAGACCAGTTGGCTGCAATTTGTTCTCGGCCTACTTACTTGTCAATGTTCCCTGACAGGTCGTTTGTGAAGAAGGTGTGCTGTTACTGATTTGGTTTCATCCATTAATACAAACTACTCAACGTTTGATAAGGATAAACTTTTAATGGTAGGAAAATACACAAAACAAATTATTATTGAAATACACGTATCACGGTACACAATGATTGTGTGACTCAGTTTTACGAGGAACAGATGCATGGAATATTCGGCACAATGTGCTTGGAAACCTTTGTTTGGAGTGAGTGAGTGAGTATGGTTTTACGCGGCTTTTAACAATATTGCAGCAATATCACGGCAGGGGACACCAGAAATCTGCTTCACACATTATACTTATGTGAGGAATCGAACCTGAGTCTTCAGCGTGACGAGCGAACACTTTAACTACTAGGCTATCCCATCGCCCCCTTTGTTTGTTTTTTTCTTGACAGAAACCTAGAGACCACCATACGTATGATTCTGAAGATTGGGACTACCAAATGCACTTTGTTGTTTGACGACCGTAGAATTTGGCAGGTGCACAGGTATGCTTGATCCCGGTTCAACACAACATTGTGAACCTCTTTGGTGTCAGCCTGAGTATGATCAGCAGGGCATGGAATCGATGCCACAAATCTTGTTCATCTACCCAGTGACATGCGCGTGCTCGACAGCGTTCCACCTCTCATCGGGAAAATTGATTTCTCGTGATTGCAGCAAGACGTCGCCACTTAGGGAGGGCAGCCACCACGCTCATAGATAACCCGTGGAACGCCAGTGGCATTAACGATTTTCGTCAGACAGGTGCTATTTTCTCCTCAAGGTGATCCAACAAATCAACGCCTCGTTTGGATTTGGCTGAAGATCACGTCAATTGGATACACCACGACCGGGATCCAGTACGTTTTGCTGATGAATCGAGATGCTGACCTCACAGACCTCACATATCGTCGGACTAGGAGGATAAATGACAAATATAACGACAGTTTATGTGAACATGAGACTAAATATACTACCATTTTGACTAATGATTTGACTGATTATTGTTGACATTACGATGAAGTATTGTTATAAAAGCTGTTTTAATAAGGTTTAACTATAAATACGCATACCTTCTTGGTCTCCAACTCTTCAATCGCTTCGGGATCCATTGCTCCCCATCCATGTACTCCAACAGGAGTGATGTATTTAGGAGACATATCCTTGATATATTCTCCTACCATTTTTGCAATCCCATAATGTATGCCTTCGGTTGTAATCCAGATATCTATCACAGAAATACTTGCCATGTACAAGATTGGCTGCGAAACATGAAGCGAGATGTGAACTATGACTACGTACATGTTTGTCACAAATCTTTACACACGTCAATCACTTAAGAGTCATGATATTTTGTAAAACATATCAAGGCGTAAATTATGTAAACATAGCCCATATCTACTTATGTATAAATTATTCTCACTTTGTCCATTGGATAATGACTTCACCAGTCCCTTCAGCTGGCACCTAACTTCATTCGCCCTCGGGTCAGTCTGTTCATCTTCGTCTCCTATGACAGAGAGTATCCATTTTGGCTTAGGCAGTCTCCATACCTCCACCAAGAGGTGCTCAACGACCGACATGTCTGTCTGGACATCGATACGAACATACTGTTAAACAAAAGGCATGGTTAGCAAACTTGATTTTATATGCGTAAACGCATAGGACCCGTTAAGGAACAAACAAACATGTAAGCTCACAGATTTCATTGAAATGCACTACAGTTATGTAACTGCTAATGAACTACACTATTGCAACTATAGTCGTCAAGTTCATATCCGCTATATTTAAGCATTGTTTCTAGTTTTGTTTCTGCATTTATCTAAGGATAACAGTAAAATTGTGTAGCGTGGTATCAAGTTCTGGGTGGTGTCATGAGCAGGGCCCACTTGCACAAAGCGACCTTAGCGCTACGACTATCTTAAGCCTATGTTGGAGAATGGGAGTTACAATCATTGTAGCGCTAAGATCGCTTTGTGCAAGTGTGCCCAGATGCTGGAATAGATTCTTATCCTAGTATGTTTCATTGGTTGATTGCTAGTTCAACAGAAGCACACACTTGACACTCCGGTTTATCGGAGTTTCCGATATAATTTTTAGGCATTCTTTAAATGTTGCGAGTTGTGCGTGTAAAGATATATTAACTATTGTTTTAAAGAAGGTATTCCGTTATTTCAAATGCAGCTCATAGACAACGTAATATGTATTTCACGGTCTGACGCACCCTTGAAGTCTTTCCTTCTCCGAAGTATATCTTTCCGTAGTTCCTGCAAGGTTCCGGTCTTGTATTCCGTGATGTTGACCAGTCCTCATCATTTTTAGACTCGGGGTCGGGATGTTCACTCTCTTGACGCCCACATTTGCAATAATTTAGGTTCTTTCCTCTGCGTAAACATAAGGTGATGCTTGTAATGTTAGGTATATACGTTAGTAACATGCAGTCATCGCAGAATCCCAGTAGAATATTGGTCTCTGTATTTCCTGGTGGGAGTGAAGAACTGACTATGTTATCAAGGTGACCACAATATGTGTACAGAATATAACGGATTAAATAGAATAACTTGTAAACTTTCGACGAAGAAACGGAAATGATGATTTGTGCAGTTAAACTTAATATCACTGTACTTCATGCATCTCTCTTTTCATTGCAAGACGGAGTGACCAACCATGGGCTGTAACTGTCGTACATCTAGCTGGTGTTGCCGTTGAAGCCAATTGTCCTATAAATATCCACCTACCGAAATCGTTTTCATTTTCTCAAATGTTCCAGTTGCACGTTACTTTCCATTTTCTACTATATTTGCAGCTTGTAATTGTAAATTTTATGGAATGTTGAACCAATGCTTACCTCTTTGAACAGGACTTTCAACTGTTAGTAAATGTCAAGGGACAGAAATAATTGTGTACCAGACAAAATATGGTTGAAAGTACGCATGTCCTGATTATTTGACGCATTTATGTATTGCACTGTTGCAGTATTCTGATATATAACCGTACATTTGTTCTGACAGGATATATATTATTTTGGGTATTTATTTATAACTGTATATATAGTCCCCTGTTTTCTACCTTACTCATACTTGCTTGACAAAGATACAAGAATCTGTATCGAAACGTCGCATCTACCAAATAAAGAAGTTGTTTATCCATAAAGTTTGTCTGTATATTACAACAGCACTGCTGAACGACAGCGGCCAATAAACAACTGATTCATTACTTCTTTGGTGTTAATAACAGCCCGGCAATCGTTTAAACCCTTGATATTTAAGGTTTCTTCTGGTCACGGGTAACACGATGTATCGGTAGATCGATGAATCGATAGACCCAACACCTCAATATAACGCATGATTAGGAATTGTGCAGTATATGATTAAGAATTGTGCAGTATATATCTCCATTAATGGCGTGTTGTTATGCCTTTATTGCACCGATGGGCTATCTCAGATCCTCCCTGCTGCCGCATCTTGACCTACTCGTATCCACAAAATTCGATGACACGGCAATAATACGCTACCAGGACAGCGCAAGATCTGAAAATATTCTATACTCTCTCTCTCTCTCTCTCTCTCTCTCTCTCTCTCTCTCTCTCTCTCTCTCTCTCTCTCTCTCTCTCTCTCTCTCTCTCTCTCTCTCTCTCTCTCTCTCTCTCTCTCTCTCTCTCTCTCTCTCTCTCTCTCTCTCTCACTCTCTCTCTTTCTCTCTCTCTCTCTCTCTCTCTCTCTCTCTCTCTCTCTCTCTCTCTCTCTCTCTCTCTCTCTCTCTCTCCCTCTCTCTCTCTCTAGTTGCACAGTTGACTGGTTATCTTTTGCTTTGAAGTTACATAGATCATAGGAACTCCCTAGCAGTGCCAAAATCAAGGACATTCGGGATGTGTTAGACTTGATGTCATGTTGAGTTACACACAGAAATCTTCCCAGATAAATTACTGCCACTTATCATATACAACTGCAGTGGCGTAACTATTGCAATGCTATTGCATGAAATTTGAAGCAATTTTGTAGCGACAGATTCGCCATAGGTGGCTATGTGTTCTCGTCATATTGAGTTTTTCATGCGAAAAGTTTACTTGTTTTGTATATGTTTCTTGAAATGTGCTACCGGGTGTGGCAGTGTCCTCACGGGTCCTCACGGCCAGCGATACGTCACAGATCAGGCTTCTTCAATGGTATAGTACATGGAGATGGACCATCTGCCCGTAGAGCTGAATATTGGTAGTAAATCTCCTGGCCCCAGCATACCAAATGACATTCAAAGGAGGTACTTGTTGCTACCTTTCCTTGCATCATGGGGTGGAGCATGCACAGGTCGGATCGGCGTCTGTTTGATGTGTATTAATGTCTGGTATCTCAGTTGGCGAGAACGGAAAGACATAGACCCGGAGCCATACAAGTGTCATTGCATAAGTGCAATCATCTAAAAAACCGATATTTCACCCCTACTTAAAAAGACACTTATTTGTGGCTTCAACCCAGTAGTCTGACACTGCCACCTAGAACGCATTAGCTGCCGAGAGACAATTTGTAGTATTTGCAGCAGTAGTATACGGGTAACTATGGGTCCAAACTGACCTAATTTCGCAGATGTGTGACCCAAATTCGCAGGCGTGTGACCTAATTAAGCAGAAGCATAGACTATTCTAGAAGATATGACATCATATGATATTAAGGAATTATGCGGTTTAATCCAGTTTTACATAAGACAATATTATGCTTCCCATCTCTTTCTTCCAGCATTATGAACAGCACCGAT